CTAAGTTCAAACCAATGGTTGAAGTACACCTCGAGAGCCACCCGTCTCACTCGATCGCGTTTGTTGATCGCTGGTTCCTTCAGATTTGCTCGCCGCGCGAGAGAATGCTACGGTGGGCTCGAGGCCCCTGCAGAAAAATGCGACGGTCTCACCCCGACCGGGGCAGATATTCTGCGCATAATTGATCTCGCTTTGTTCCCTCGGCGGGGAGGCCCCCCAAGAGCCATCAAGATGGCCGTGGCTCAGCGAGATGGTCGTCGCGTCGTGTCGGCCCACGAGGCCAGGGGGAGTGGGAATCCTGAGCCTGCGGGGGGCCCCGCCGAGCTTCCTGTCGTGGCCCGCGCCCGCAATGACGGGCAAGACCATGAGCAGTTGCGTCAGGAGACAAAGGAGCTTCAGACGCAAGCGAAGATTCAGAGATTGCTGGCGGCTGCCAGGGGACCGCCGCATAATGTTGACCAGCTGGCCACGCAGGAGGATTCAAACTCTTCGGGCCGGCAGCAGATGTCTGTTAGCAGGAAGGAGTGTAGGGCGGGAGTCCGCGAGCAAAGAGTTCAAAGATCTCTGTAGGATCCTCCCCAATTTTCTAATCCTCCACAATTCCTCCTTTTTCCCTTTGTCGAATCCTCCCCAAGTCCCAAATCCTCTCCAACTCCTCCTTTATCCTTTGTCGAATCCTCCCTGGTTCCCAAATCCTCCTCAACTCCTTTTTTTTCCTTTTGTAGAATCCTCCGCTATTTCCAAATCCTCCCCAACTCTTCCATATTCTTCTGTAGAGCCCCCCCAATTCTCACATCCTCCCCAACTCCTCCTCTATCATCGCGAGTACTTATTTTCCTTTTGTAGAATCCTCTCCAATTCCCAAATCCTCCCCGACTTCCATTTTTCCTTTGTAGAATCTTCGCGAATTACCAGCTCCTCCCCAACTCCTCATTTTCGTTTTGTAGATGATCTCCCAATTCCCAAATCCTCCCCAACCCCTTTCTTTGTCGTTGGTAGAATTCCCCCAATTCCCAAATCCTCCCCAACTCCTTTTGTTTCCTTTTGTAGATTCCTCCCAATTCCCAAATCCTCCACAAATTCTTCTTCTTTTGTAGAACCCTCCCCAAATCCACCTTCTTGTTTTGTTTTTTGTTAAATCCTCCCCACTTCCCAGAATTTCCCCTGCTCCTTTTTTTTCTGTTGCGGAATCCTGCCCAGTTCCCAACTCCTCCGGGCTCCTCCTTCTTCCTGTGTAGAATCCTCCCCAATTCCCAAATCCTCCCCAAGTCTTCCATTTTCCTTTGTAGCATCCTCCCCAATTCCCAAATCCTCCCCGACTCCTTCTGTTCCCTTTTGTTGAATCCTCCCCATTTCCCAAATCCTCCCCAACCTGTGTTTTTTTTCTTGGTCGAACTCCTTTTCACGTCCCAGATCTTCCCCAACCCCTCTGTAGAATCCTCCCCAATTCCCAAATCCTCCCCAACTCCTGTTTTTTTCCTTGGTCGAATCCCCCTCAATTCCCAAATCCTCCCCAGCCCCTCTCATTTTCTTCTCTAGAGTCCCCCCCAATTCCCAAATCCTCCCCAACTCATTCTTCTTCTCGTTTTAAGAATCCTCCCCAATTCCCAAATCCTCCCCAAACCCCTCTGTAGAATCCTCCCAAATTCCCGAATCCTCCCCAACTTCTCTTTTGTCCTTTGTAGAATCCCCCCCGATTCCCAAGTCCTCCCCAACCCCTTTCATGCTCTTCTGTAGAACCCCTCCAAATCCCAACCCCACCCCCACGCACGCCCATTACATTACAGGAAAAATCGTTCTGGGAAGTAATACTGTAATATTAAATTGCCCACCGGTATGTGTTGCAAGCGATGTGATGCATACTATGGGGAGCAAGCTTTGGGGTGCAAGGTATGTGGTGAACGCTATGTGGTGCAAGCTATGTAGAGCAAGCAATGCGGCACAAGCTCCGTGGTGCAAGCTATGTGGTGCACGCTTTGTGGTGCAAACTATGTGGTGCAGGCTGTGTGTTGCAAGCTATCCGGAGCCGGCTCTGTGCGCACACGGGCGCCCAGTGAGCGAAAATTTTGAGAGCTCCCAGCCAGCACGGAGTGCTCGCGCCCACGGGCGCACAGCAGACGACGAGCTGGAACCAGCAGCCAACACGAGGCGCTCACGGGCGCCCGCCAGGCGAAAGCCGAATCCCACAGCCAGTTCCCACGAAGCAGCGCAGGAGCACCCCGAGTGCAAGCACTGCTCAGGTACAGCGACAAGAAGCAGAGAACCACTCGGAGGTACGCGTGGATGCTCTGGGCCAGCGCTGGGCCCCCTCCCCCCCCCCACTCATAGCGACGAGCGAGGGGGTTCCCGCGGCGAGCGAGGGGGTTCCCTTCGCGTGGGGGTTCCCGCGGCTTTGTGCTCCTCCCGTTCGCCGCCGCCGCCATTCGGCGGCGAGCGAGAGCGGGAAGTGAGAAGGAGAAGGCCTTCTCAGAAGGCGGCGGGGCTTCTCACAAGACCCGTCCGAGAAGTGTTCCGTGCTTTCGGGGAAGGCTTGTCCGGGGGACTTCCGAGCCTTCCGAGAGGGCCCGCCCCTTCTCACCTTCTCCCCCTGGCTCGCCGCCTACTCTGGCACCGCTCTCGGCGCGCTCTCGGCGCGCTGGAGTATGTGGGGTGTGGGTGCGAGCCTCTGAGAGCTGAGTGGTTGTGATGTTTCCAGGTTGTTCCCTACGGTCGTCGATTGCCTCCTGGGCCCGGCCTGTCTATACAACGTCGGCCTCCGGCGCGGAGCGATGGCGGCGCGCGGCGCGCGCGTCGCCGAGCCGGCGGCCAAAGAGGTCGTCGCTTACGGCGCCACCGAGGACGTCCGATCGGTCCCTCCGCGGCGGACGATCCTCATCGCCGCCAGCGCGTGTTGCATCATTCAGATGATTTCGACAATGGCGTCCGAGACCTCTGATGCCACACAGATATTTTTCCTCGACAACCTGGGGATAGATACCGACATGAATTCTGGCATGCAGTTTGCGCAGGACCGGATCTACATGGTGTGTCTGCTTCTTTGTGGGAAGCTCGGAGATAACGGACTGGGAAGATTTGAGACCATGTCCTTGGGAACCGTGGTGTATTTGTTCGGCACCCTCATGGTCTGTTTGGCCACGCACCCCTGGCTTTCGAGGATGATTTGGTACTTCGCCGGCGTATGCACAACGCCTCGCGGCCGTAGTCCGGGAATCGATCGCACCGTGTATCGTGTATGGCCCTGCACCTCGTGCGCCGCCACGAGCTTCCCCCGTGCGTCCACCGTCACGCTCCCCTGGTGTCGGCTGCGAGCCTGGGGGGAAAGGGAGAAGGAGAAGGCCTCGTCAGAAGGCCCAGAAGCCCCCCGACCTTTGAGACGTTTTCTAAGCCTTCCCCCCGCCGACACCGAAGAAGTCTCAGAAGGTGCGTGGGACTTCTGAGAAGCCCCGCCGCCTTTCGAGAAGGCCTTCCCCTTCTCTCAAGCAGTGGCGAAGCGTCCCGGCTCGCCTATAGGCCCACCAAAGAATGTCTTATAGGCCCACCTAGAAGTTTGCACGACATGTTCTTTGAACATTTCAGGTTGGGACTGTCTTGTTTTATCACATCGGGTTGATGTTCTAAGAACATTTCGTGGCAGGACTATAGGAATGCTGGGACGGTCGGTCCCTGCTCGATTCTCATTCCCCCCCCCTCGCTCGCCGCCGACCCGAGGAACAGCGAGCCCCTTCCGTCCCGAAAGCGTTCCCCCGCCCCGGCGGGGTGCACGCCGACCCCGCCCACCAGCCGCTCCCCCGCCACCCGCCGCCGATCCACGCCCCACCTCGTCTTGGTCTCGCTCGGACGTGTGCACTTTTTCTCGGCGGGGATGATTAAGGAGCATCCTGGATCATCCTGCGAAAAAAAACCACGCACGAAACCGGAAAAAGCACAGGGAATGAACGTCCGAGCGAAGGGGACCACCTCTGCAGCAGCCGCCCGCTTGCCGGGACGCCCAGGAGAGCGCAGGCGTTGGCGCCGCGCCTCACCTTAGGTCGGGCGTGTTCTCCTACAGACGGATTTGGGACGAAAAATAAAGATTACACAAACATTGAGCAACAAATGCTGAAACATACTCGAATAATCATCCCCAGACTATTTTTGTTACTATGTTTGATCATTCCTCCTGTAGAGGGACATGCCCGACTTACGCCTCACCCTTCGGAGCCCCTTCGCGTGGGGGTTCCCGCGGCTTTGTGCTCCTCCCGTTCGCCGCCGCCGCCATTCGGCGGCGAGCGAGAGCGGGAAGTGAGAAGGAGAAGGCCTTCTCAGAAGGCGGCGGGGCTTCTCAGAAGCCCTCCGGCCCTCAGAAGCTTTCCGGCGTCGAACACGTCTCAGACGACCTGGGGACCTCCGAGCCTTCCGAGAAGGCCCGCCCCCTTTTCCCCCCGCGCTCGCCGCCGAGCCATCGACGCAAACGTGTGCAACTTCGGCGCCGACCAGTACAACCTCAACATCCGCAGCCACCACGAGCGGCAGCGGGCCTTCTTCTGGTGGTACGGGGCCGCGATCTGCGGCGGGGAGGCCCGGGCCGGCACGACAGAGGGGGCGGGGACAGGGAGAGGCGGGAGGGGGTGCGAAGCACGCGGCTTGCAGCCGGAGGTCGGGCACGTCCCTCTACAGGAGGAATATCCCAACACAGGAACAGCACAGTCTGGAGCCGATTTCTCTGGCATGGCGTCGGCCCCGCCGCCGTGCGCCCTTTTCGACACGCTGCCGGTCCTGGCGCGGGGGAGGCGCCGCGAAGATCCGCCTGCGCGAGCTTCGTCGCTCCCCCTCTCCCCCCCTGGCTGTCCCCCCGTGCCGTCCGACCCGAGAGGCGCTGGCGGCCATCCTCTTGCAGTCGTTCGGCGTCGCCTCCACCGACTCCCAGTACATCTCGGCGACCACGAGGGGTGCGCCTGCGCCGGGGTGTGGCTTGTGATCTGTGTCGGTGGGGGCTTCGAGGGGCACCACGCTACCCCTGTCGGGCCTCCTCGGGGTGTGGCGCAGAATTCTGTCGGCGTCCTCGCCCGCCCCCCAGGGTACTGTTGCAAACCGCACCCTTTGCAAGCCTCACTCTTCGGAGTCGCCGAACATAGCGGCCCTCGTCTGGGTCGACGACGAGATCTCGGCGCAGCCAGAGGCCTACTGGGCGGTGTTCCTCATCCCGGGGGGCAGAACGTGCACACCGCTGCCACACTTCTCTGGAGGGAGGGGGCGGGGGGAGGCGGAGGAAGAGGATGAGGGAGGAGGGAGGAGGAGGGAGGAGGAGGGAGCAGGAAGAGGAGCAGGAAGAGGAGGAGGAAGAGGAGGGAGCAGGAAGAGGAGGAGGAGGAGAAGGAGGAGAGGCAGGAGGAGGAGAAGGAGGAGGATGAGGAGGAATAAGGAGTTTCACTGCGCATAGAGAGGGAGAGGTCAAGGTCGGAGAGTTGAGAAAAACGGGGGTGGGCCGCCAATCCGAGAGGACGTTTGTCAGACCCGCTACGGGCTTCCATCCCCCGCAGCAGGTCCCTGACAGGAGGCCCCCCCCATCAAGTCAGCCGAGTTCTCCACCTTCGGCTGAGCAACCTGAAAACCGCGCTCGCCAGGACGCGGCGTCGGCTCTTGCCTGCGCAACCCTGTTTCCCCAGGCCTCGGCCTGCGCACGGCTCTCGGATCCGAAGGATTTAGAACAAGCCTGGAGATCAAGGCGGGGGGGCGGCAGCATGCCGCGAAAAGAGAGGAAGCCGACTTGGCACCTGGTCTGGCACGCCCATGCCAACTCCATGATGCACAGCCTATCGCGCACGGGTGATCTCGGACGGAGACCCAGGCTCATCAAGAGCCACCGACATGCTGTAAGAATGTCACCTGATTATCGCGAAGCATTTTGCCGACGGTGAACGCGTTGCCGCCCTTGGGCCTCATGGGCCCCTCCCCCACTGGGGCGCACAGAGATCACGCTGCCGAATGTAGGCCGCAAAATTGTAAGACGTCGTTCACAAGAGGATGGCGTCCGAGCCTGGGACCCTATTTTTTAGCACCGAATGCCCGTGGACCCTCCAGGGACAGAAGTCGCCGATGCTCAAACTTTCGTCTTCCAAAGCTTCGGACGAATTCGCCGGCCCAACGGGCCAGAGGCGTGCCATGATCTCCGGCGACTGGTTCAGAGTTCGCGCGCGCGGGGCCGCTCTTGGGGGTCCCTGGCCGAGAAGTACCCTGGCAAGGTCCGATCAGAGATGGTTATGCTCCTGGGCGCCGCCCTCGGGCCCCCCCCGTAAAGCCCCAAGAAGGGTCAAGAGGCCCCCTCAAAGGCACCCGCGATGGTCCAGGATGTGTCCGGGACGCCGCACCCCCAGACGGCCCGAGAGCCATCCAAAAGCACTCCCCAGAGGGCCCCCAGATGCAACATTCGTCGATTTCCTTCGGGCTTTTGAAGGATTCTTGCTTTCTCGCCTTGCAGCCTTCCGGCGCGCAAAGACGGCCTCAAGAGGCCTCCAGGATCGCCCCGAGATGGCCCACGAGGCCCCCAAAGCGGGCTCCAAGACGGCCCACGCCAAAGACGGCTCAAGAGGCCTCCAAAAACGGCCTAAGAGGCCCTGATGACGGCTCCAAGAAGGAACCCAGACGGGGGACCCGAACGGACATTTCGAGCCCTCGGCCCCAAGAAGCCCTCAGGAGGCCACAAGGGGCCCTCCAAAGACCCTTGGGGCCGCCAAGAGGCCCCCAGGAAGCCCCAAGAGACCCCACGCATGCTCCTAGGAGGCTCCAGGCGCCCAAGAGTCCCCAGAACTGCCCTCCAGAAGCCCCCGACAGCGCTCCGAAGAGACCCCCAAAAGTATCCCGGAGGACTCTGACCCACAACCTAGCAATGTCGGTGAGTAGTAGAGGCCAGAACCCCACGACAAGCTCCAAAGCAGCTACTTCACATTCATGCCTGCTGTCGCCACGCCTCCAGGAAAAAAGGATCACCGCCAATCAGCACGGCAAGCGCCAGCGATGGCAAACTACGGGCCGGCAGAATGAGCGAAGCGATCAAACCAGGAGGAGGAGGAGGAGGAGGAGAAGAGGAGGAGAAGAGGAGGAGAGGAGGAGGACAAGGAGGAGGAGGAGGAGGAGGAAGAGGGGATGGATGAGGAGCAGGGAGGGAGCAGGAGGGAGGAGGGAGAAGGGATGGGGCAAGAAGGAGGAGGAGCGAGGAGGGAGGTGGGAGGAGCGAAGAGGGAGGAGGGAGGAGGACGGACGAGGGAGGAGACAGGCACGAGGTGGGAGGCGGGAAGGGGGAGTAAGGAGGCAGGAGGCGGGAGGAGGGATGCAAGAGAAGGGAAGACGAGGAGGAGGAGGAGCAGGAGGAGGAGCAGGAGGAGGAAGCGGGAGAAGGCAGGAGTAGGAGGAGCAGGAGCAGGAGAGGAGTAGCAGGAGTAGGAGGAGGAGAAGCAGGAGGAAGAGGAAGAGGAGGAGCAGGAGGAGGAGGAGGAGCAAGAGGAGGATGAAGAGGTGGAGGAGGAGGAGAAGGGTGGAGACGAGCAGGAGGAGGGGAGGAGGGAGGAGGAGGAGGAGGAGGAGGAGAGGAGGAGTAGGAGGAGGCGGGAGAAAGAGGCGGAGGAGGAGGCGGTGGAGGAGGAAGGAGGAGAGGAGGAGGAGAGGGAGCAAAGGAGGAGGGAGGAGGAGGAGGAGGAGAAGGAAGGAGGAGGAGGAGGGGGAGGATAGGGAGGGAGGGAGGGAGGAGGGAGGGAGGGAGGGAGGGAGGGAGGGAGTGAGGAGGAGGAGGAGGAGGAGGAGGAGGAGGAAGAGGATGATGAGGACCAGTGCAAACCCAAGAGTCATCAACGATGTTGGAGTAAACCCTCCCTCCAGGGAAATGTCACGTTGAAAAGCAACCGTTTGAAGACCCTGACTCATGCCAAAACATCGTTCTCTGGATTCCAACCTTCGGATCAACCTGATCGGTGCGTCTTGACGATATTGGATCGTGAGAGAAGGCCGTTCCTGGGACTTCAACACCGCGGGCCAACGTAACTGTTGCACCCTCATAACCCTGAATCCTTCCAAAACTCCATGTCGTCAAGTACGCTGATCATGGGCATCCGTGAAACTCTTGCAAGTTAGAGAACGAGTGTGCGCGTCGCTAAGGCGAGAGCTACATTTTGAAAAGGAGCCGCCCTCAATCCGTGAAACCCTTGCGAATTGTCAAACGGAATGCGCGCGGCGCTAAGGCGAGAGCCACATGTTGAAAATAAACCGCTTTCAATCCGTGAAACCTTGCAACTTCCCAAAAATAGTATACTCGGAGCTAAGGCAAGAGCCAGATTTTGAAAACGACCCGCCCTACGCAAATGTTACAAACGAATGTGCGCTGCGCTGAGGCGAGCCAAATTTTCAAACGACCCGCCTCCATCTGTCAAGCTGTTGTCAACATTAAGCTTCAGGATCATAAATGGTGAGGAAGTCTCAGGCGAAACGCCCGGACCGCCCCAGACACCAGTCTCGAGGTGCGAAAGGGAGAAGTTACCTATAAGGAAAAGGAATGGAGGATGATGAGGAGGAGGAGGAGGAGGAGGAGGAGGAGGAAGGAGGCGGAGGCGGAGGCGGAGGCGGAGGCGGAGGCGGAGGCGGAGGCGGAGGGAGGAGGACGATCAGGGAGGAGGAGGAGGAGGAGCAGGAGAAGGGAGAAGGAGGAGGAGGAGAAGGAGGGAGTAGGAAGGAGCGAGTAGGGCGGAGGGAGGAGGCAGGAGGGATGGAGGGAGGGAGGGAGGGATAGAGAAAGGAAGGGAGGGAGGAAGGGAGAGGGAGGGAGGGAGGAGGAGGAGGAGGAGGGAGATGGAGGAGGAGGAGGAAGATGAGGGAGAGTTAGTGTAACTCCAATATCCACTTAACGATTGTGCAATGAACTCTCCCTCCAAGCTTCCCCCTCATGGGCCTCTACCGGGATATTTTCACTTGGGGAAGCTCCCCGTTGGAAGACACTCGTCTGACAATCGTGATCCGTGCCAAAAAAACACGCACCATTATTGGGACTGTAATTCTGCGAATCAACTTTCCTGTTGCACCCTGTCGATTCTGAATAGTGCCAGAAGACCGTTCCTGGGACTTCATCACCGCGAGTCAACGTGACTGGCGCGCCCTGACAGACCCACGTCTCGCCACAACACCATTTCTGGGACACCAGCCGTAATAATCATTGAAATTGTTTTGAATTTCACGAGAATGTGCGCGGCGCTTAGACGAGCGCCGAAGTTTGAAAACGACCAGCCCTCCATCCGTGTGTGCGCGGTAGACTGCGCACTTTCAAGGCGAGTGTGCGGGTCGTTAAGGCGAGAGCCCCATTTTGAAACCGACTTGCAAACTTCAAGCTGAACGGTCAGGCACGGTGAGGAAATTTCTGGCGACCCGCCCAGCCCGCCCTACTGACACGCCCTACCTACGCCAGTCCTACTCCCCTCTCCTCTCCTCTCCCCCTCTCCCTCCCCGTGTCCCCCCCTTGCCCTTGTGGTTCCTTGTCCTTGTGCGGTGTGTTCTCCCTCTCCCTTCTGCTTGGCTCCCCCTCCCTGTCCCCCGTCCGTCCGTCTGTCGGCCCGGTCTGTCCTTTCCTGTCGTCCTCCCTCCTTCTCCCCCCTCCCCTCCCTCGCTCCTCGGCTCCTCGCTCTCTTGCCCGTTTCTGCCCCTTGCCTGGCCAGCGTTTCTTTGTCGGCCCGTCCCGGTGTCCGAATAAGAGCCGCGGCGCCCCGCATTGCCACGCTGACGAATAGCCCAGCGTGGGGCATATGCCAAGCAGCCCTGCCCTGTTCGATTCACGGGCTTGCCCCGATGGAGTGGATCGTAGATCCCGCGCGGCGGATCCCGACAAGGAGGAGTTATTTATAAGGAAGAGGCATGGAGGAGGAGGGAAAAGGGAGGAGTGAGGAAGGAGGAGGGACGAGGGCGGATGATTAAGATGATTATGATGATGATGAGAAGGAGGAGGAAGAGGATGATTAGTATGATGTTTATGATGCTGCCGATGATGATTTTGATGGTTCGGATGATGTCGATGATAATGTGGATGATGATGATGATGATGATGATGATGATGATGACGATGCTGATGATGGTGTTGATGCTGGTGTTGATGATGCTGATGACGATGATGCTGATGATGATGGTTTTGATGATGCGGATGATGAGGATGATGTTGCTGA